ACTCAGGCTCTATCACATTAAGCGACATAGGTAAGGATAGAGGCGTAAATTTCCTAGCTTAATGTGCCCTGTGATAAGACCGTACGGACTTCTGGGAACACCTTAATAGTCACCAAAACAAAACAAAACAAAAATAAAATAAAGACTATGAGTACTTTTTTATAAATCATTTTTCTATCAAATAAAAGTTTTTGCTGCAGATAATTATTTGTACATTTATTTTTTTACAATTTATCTACCAACCATATTCCACGTTTTTTGTGTGTTTCCGTGGGTTTTTTCCAACATTTTTGCATAATAAATTTTTTTGATGGTTCTTTGTTTTTTTTAAACAAATTTTTATAGTTCAATTTTATATTCAGGGCCGGGTTAAGTACTTAATGGTCTCCTAGCACTTTAGACCTTCTGGTCCCTATTGGCCTTATAGTATTCAAATTTAACAACGGTTTAAAATAAAATTATATAATGTATTTTCTTTTGTATTTCAGCAAGCATCTCGCGTTATTTATTATAAAAACACGCTGCAATTAGTATAGGTTTTAAAACGCTTTTGTCTGCATTTTAAACTTGCGAATGCAGATATGATTATCTATTGAACAATAGTAAGATCTGAAAGACGTTCCTAAAAAAAAGCTCCAAAATAAAGCATTCGTTCAATAATTAAAGATTAAGATCCGAAAGATATCGGTCAACATGAATTTTGTACACTGCAAGTAATCTCCAATATATCCAGGCTGCAGAGATTCACAAGAAAACTAGACAGAGAGTTCAACCCAGAATGGGCTTTCTTTCTTTTATCTAGATCACTTATTAGTTTATCCGTGATCTCATTAACGCCGGGAATCATTTAAGATCGCCCAGAAACACTGTAGTTTCCACACTATTAACTTTATCATCTTAAGGCCTCTTAAGTGCTTTTGGGAGCCTTTGAACATAGACATATTCATCCGTGTTGACCAAGACACGGCTTGCCTTTTCGTAATGCTTCCTTTTTCACGTAATGCTCCAGGGAGTTGTGCAGTTTTTCAACCATACCTTAATCAAGCTTTATAGAAATAGAGTAAACCTTTTCAATGGCAAACAAGCATCAGCACAAGCTGACCTACGAGTTAGTAAGAAAGTCTAGGGAAACTTAAAACGTATTCCATTAAAAATCTCTGGGACATGAGAGGAAGTCAAGGATAGAATTGTAGAATAACTGCAGTTTTCTTTTTGTTATATATTATAAACAATTCAATGTATTCAATGTTATTTACATTTGAATTTTTTCATGTAAAATAATGGTCATTCTCGTTACTTTTCTATATCAGTTTTTTAAAATATTTTTGTTTAACGGTTTTGTTAGGTGTTGCTTTTATTCTCAAAAATAATTTCAAGGAGTCGAACCTCAAGGAGTTAGCAGAAGTCTAAACTGGTAAACTCTTGGCTAACGTCATGTTCAACCTGCATCAGAAGTTTATTATAAATGGGAGAGTGTGTAGAAGCAATTTATTATAAAAAACTAATAACTGATTACTTTTTTACTTCCAGAATACATTTTTAAAATCTAAGAAGCGTTGTAGTTAATTGAAGTTTGGTAATTTAAAGTTTTTTCTAACCCTCAATTTGATGCAACAACTACAGATAATGGTTCAAACTATGCTGGTGTCTTCAACCAGTTTGGTTTATTCGAGTAGTAAAAACAGAAGATCTTTAGCTGGTCACCTCGACGCATTTCTTTTAGGAGAAAATTCTAGAAAGTTCCAATAATGATATCATTCTACCAAAGAACCGTAGTTCTCTGTAACAAGAGCACCGCGGAAGTGCATTTAACCAGGAAGTTCATGCCTTCTTTCTTACCGTGACGCGAAAATATTTCCAGAGCTCGTTTTGAACCTGGATCTTCTTGGGGCACCAAAATAACAAAAGAAAAAAATAAAATAAAATAAAAAAAGTAAAAGTACGTCAATTTCATTTTTATTAAAGGTTTAACTTTTTTTTAAAAAAATAAAATGTATAAAAATACATTACAAAGTTTTGTTTTAAAACAAAAACTTTAGTTTTAACACCTCTCTTTGTATTGTGCAATTCCTTGGTACTTGAGAATTAGCTTATCGTGGAACAAGTGAAACAGTTTTCAAAGAAAACAATGAAAACTTTTTAAAACTTTTGAGCACATTTCAAAATTTGACACTGTTCTTTCTGAATATCTTTGTCGGGTAACTGCCTCTGAAAATCATGTACATTCTTTCAGCAAAAAAAATCAAAATGAGTTTATAAGTCTTCTTTCCTGTACAGTTATTGATGAGATAACTAAATTAAATACAGAGAATTTTGCATTATTCTATAAATCTTGGCTGAACTTCTGACGTAATTTGTAAAAAACAAAAGATAGATGCAGTTTGGTTTGTGTATGCAGTTGCAGAAGAAGAAGTAAAGGCGAGGAGACATTTTCTTGGATTTGTTCATTTCTTAGAAACATCTGGGCAAAGGTTGACAGCTTGCTTATTAGATGGTTAGAAACTATACTTTAAAGTAAAGTTATGGAAAAAAATTTCTACAAAGTCGGGGAAAAAATATTTAAAAAAAAGTTCCGTAGAACGGGGTGACTTTGATACGCGGGGTGACTTTGATAATTTCGTCTGTTAGTTACAAAAATAATGATTTGAATGTGAAATTGCACAATTAGAGACTATTTTTTTTTTTATTCTTGTACATAATTATATTCTGCTAATATTTTTGAAATTTTAATGGTTGTGAAGTGATTCTAAATTGTGCAAATGTGTTAGGAATAACATGACTATAACAAAAAAATAACGATTTTTACACGTACCAAAAAATGCCAAAAAATCTTGTGATTTTAATTTTTTTGAAATTTTTTTTTTCTAAAAATCTATACTTAGATGTTCAAGTGGTATTTTCCAGTTATAATACCACTGGAATATACCACTCGTTTTTGGTTACTCTCAATCACATTTGCAGAAAAATCAAAACAATTTTGTTTTTCAGTTTTTCAAATGATTTTTAGTATTATATATTTCAATCCTATTGCAATTTTTTAATGTTTCAAACGATTATTTCTAGTTAAAAAAAACGTTAAAACAAAAAATATCACAAGGAGAATTGCAAGGATTATGAGAACTTATAAACGTAAACCAGGTAATCGATCCTATGCATCTCACACAGCAGAAGACTTGCAAAATGCCTTGGTAAATATCTCAAACTAACAGAATATCGATTTTCAAGGCATCTAAGATATATGCTATACCATATAGTACTCTGTACAACAAGAGTAAGCTAAGACATATGAAAAACCCTGGAGGACAGACTAGATTACAGCCCCATACAGAAGAAAAGATTTTACAAATTATTAGCATTCTGACAGATTGGAAGTTACCTTTAGATAAGTTAGATATACGTCTGCTAGTAAAAAACTATTTAGACAGAATGGATTTTAGACAGAATTTTATAACTGCTAATTACTATAACAATGTTATTGATATATTATTTTTCTGTGTTTAGCATATTAACATCAAATTTATTTTTGTTTTTTCTTTGTCCATTCTGTAGATATATTCGATAACCAAACTTGTTGTCTAAATTTATAATTTTACCAGTAAATCTTATAAGTTTAATGTTGTGTTCTAATTTAGTAAAAGTCAAAAAGAAAGTATTAGCGACACTGTAAAGAGGGTTAAATCAATAAGCCATTAAGAAATAATAGACTATCAAAGTCACCCCAAACGACGGGGTGAGATTGATAACATTTTGGATTAAAAATATATATATTAAGACAAAAAAAAATTAAAAATATTTAATGGAATTATATAAAGGAAAGGTATAATGTTATAACGGGAAAAAAAATCAGAAAAAATTGTAATGAACCAGATTTATTTTGCAAAAATGCTCAAAATCCTAACAAAGTAACAAAGTTCTACGGTATACCTCTTACACCTTTTATTATTATTGAGTGATAATCAGGAGAGAACTATTTGATACGAAATATAAGAAAATAAATAAATTTAAATATAAGAAAAAGAAAATGATGATAGTTGTTATCAACATGTTGATATGAAAGGGTTGAAATAGACGCGCTAAAATCCACAAGTGCACCATCAAAGTTTAAACCAGGCTTGAGAAATGATAAAGCATAAGTTTCTATATATCGAGAAAAAAATTACTTTTATGTAAATATTAATAGAATATTTAATAAACAATTAAAAAGTTAAATACTTTATAAAATAAGTAATACGACTAAAAGAATTGTTTACTCAGTCCAAAATCTCAAAAGCGTTTAAACTTTTTTTTTTTTTTTTTTAAAGATTTTTAATATTTTCATGAATTTATAAATGTTTAACTATATTTATTAACTATGTTTAAATTATTAATTAAATAGGTTTAAATTAAGAATTACCTCTGGAGCGTTAAAACATAGTTTGTATGTCTTTCCCTGATGCAAAGTTTTGAATATATTTGCATCAGGGAAAGACATACAAACTATGATATAATGCTCCAGAGGTAATTTAACTTATTTAATTATAGACTTATTTAAGACTTACTTAGACTAATTATTTAAGACTTACTTAGACTAATTATAAACTTATTTAATTATAGTTTATTAATATATTCACAGATTCTTAATTTCACAACGCTGTTTTTTAAGGAAACAGAATCCTGTTTATTTTATAAAATTACCCTGAGTTAATTATTAATTAGCAATTTAATAACATTTTATTGCAAAAGATAAAAATTTAATCAAATCAATTTCTTCAAAATTTGCAACCAAGATGGCAATTTTAAAATATTTCTAAGTATATCATAATGTATGAATACAATAAATAAACTAGTTAGTTCTAGTAAAAGTTTAAATAAAACCGAAAGAAATTAAAAACAAAATAAATTTAAAAAATTAATAAAACTTAACAGTCAAAAAACTAAAAAAACTATTACGTCTGATCTGAGCGGAGTTTACAATCGGACTTTGTATTATGTATATTTTGTATATAAGTATATTTTGGAAATTTTATTTTTGGAAACGGACAAAAAAAGTTATAAACACGACATTTTTAAACGCTGATATCTGAATAAAATATCTGTGCAAAAATATTGAAAGTATATAATTAACAATTACTACTATTTATATACTTATAAGAAATAAATTATGGCGAATAAATGGTTATGAATTTATTTTCAACAATGGTGAATAATATTAAAACATTCTTAAATAGTCCTCAAAGTGACGTTTCACCAGTTAGCACAGATTTTTCTGATATTAAAGTTCCAAAGTTATATGGAAGTTATTCAAAACGCCAACAAGCGAAAGTTGTTGCTTTTATAAGAAAAGGAAATAGCCTGCGTTCTGCAGAAAAATTATTTGGTATTCCAAAATCTACCTTGCATTGTTGGTTGAAGAAGTTAGATTCGTCTCCAAAAGAATCTACAAATATTTCAACCAAATCGCCTGAAGCATTTCATTTAAAAAATTTATTGAAAAAAGAAAATACTTGTAAGTAAATATTTTGTTTATGATAATATACATGCTTACTCAGACAACATTATTTAATTGATAACAGAAATTAAAAAAGTCTTCACCATGAGTTCAACTCTTTTCTTTAGTAAAAAGTTATCTATTTAGGTACTAAATTTAGGTATTAAATTTAGGTATTAAAAAGCATCTATTTAGGTACGTGTGTAAAAATTTCAAATTGTTTAAATATTAGATTGTTGTATATCGTTGGAAAGAATTTTAAAAAAATATTCTAAAACTGAAAGTTTTATCAAAATCGGATGATTCTACAAAAAGTTATGAGCATTATAGTGACGAAATTTGATTATAAGGATTCCTTAACAAAAATGTGACCAATTTATAATGGTTTTGTAACTTAAACCGCCTAACATTGTCAAATCTTATCTAAATGCATATAACTTGGTATCAAAAAATAGGTGTAACATTGGGCTACAAGCTTCTTTTGCTTTTGACACCTGTGTGTATTCAGGGGGCTAGAGGGGTGACAGAAGAAACATTTTTGCCATTAAAAAAATCACATTTCTTCCAAAAAAGGATGTTTTTTTATATATAAAACTAGTAATTTATCAGTTTAAGTTGTTATTTTTTTATTCCAGTTTGCAAGCAAATATTATAAATGTATTTTGTGAAGGAGGTGGATGTGGTGGTAATGGTGCACACCCTAGTATCGAAAGATTCATTCTAATAAATATTTTTATCATTATTAAAATGAATTAGAATAGTAAATAATAAAACTAATATATAAAATAATACATAATAAAAATTATATTTTATTAAATTATATATTAGTGACATAAATAAATTATAGGATGTGGGGCGTCACCCCCCCCCCCATCTATCACAAAAAAAAAGTTTAAAAACAAAAATTAGCAGTATAAAAAGTGGTAGAATACGCTCCTTCTAAATCTTAAAACTTTAAATTTAACGCTGCTTTTAAATGCTCTAAATGCTAAAAAAAAATAAGAAAAGAAAAGAAAATGTATACATATGTATAATAAATAAGAAACTAACATCATGAGGTTGTTTATGTGAACTAATAATAACGCTAAGTATAAAAAATGACAATAAAATAAAAAATTATGTTTTAATTTATAACTTATTTCTTGACTTTTAGTAAATGATTAAAAACAGTTCTGGTCACCTTTAAGCAAGAAAACTTTATATATTAACAAGTTATATATATAATATATTTATCTTAACCGCTCTTGTAGCGTAGTTTGTTAAGCTGTATAACAATGTTTGCTGCATTACAATCCCTGCCAAACAGTTTCCCTTTTAATGTTTCCAATGCTTTAAGTGAAGACTTATGCAAGCAGAGGTCATTGTATTCAATGGGTGAAGATGACAGTTTAGTAACTGTTTAACGATTTCTGCCACTAAGTATTTAACTTAGTGATAGTTGCATGGTTTGCTGCCACTCGGTCACTCATCATATTACTTATATTAGCAATAATTGTACTTCGTACTTCAATATATTGTTGCTCGTAGAAATTACTATACAACTTAGCAAGGTGATCTACAGACTGTGTAATATGACTCTGATAATCATTAGCTGTACCCCAAGCAAGTTGGTCAATAGCCACAACCATGCATTGTGTTTTGGTTGTAAAGTGCACAGCATTTATATGGCCACCCTCTTGTGTAGTAACATCAAAGCTCGAGGTCATATTTTTTGTTGCAATAGCTATTTCAGCAGTCTGCAGATCTGAACTCCAAGCTCACGCATCATCTGCTCCACAGTTGTGCGAGTTTCAGTTGTTGAACATTTATTTTAAAATTATACAAGTAAAAGATGTCCTTTAAGACATACCTGATATGAAAAAGGTAGTTTAAGATAGTCTGATTTTAAATGATTCAACATTAAATATTTCTTTGACATTTTAAAAACTCTAGGTACAAGTGTAAAAATTTAATTATATTATTAAGAGCACTAAGCTGTAAATAAATAAATTATATTTATTTAATATAGAGAATAAAATAAATATAGTAAAGAATTCACAAAATTTTATTGTAACATGTTTAATAATATTAACGCTACATGTTTAACATGTTACCCTTCTTGACATGTTTAATATGTTACCTTTCTTGAAGGAGAGTTTTTGTAGACCTTCATAACTTATAGAATAACAAAGCAAATATAATATATAACTATTTATTATTCTATAAAGTATACAATAATAAATGTAACTTATTTAATAAACTATTAAAATTAAATTAATTTTAATAGAATATAATTACTATTGCAATAGCCTAGCAAAAAAATATATTTTGAAAATTATTTAATGAGTAAATAATGATGCAAATATTCAATAAAAATAATTTAATACTTTGAAAGAATAATCAAAAATACAACTAAAAGTATAACTAAAAAATTATATATCTTCAAAAGATTCAAAAAGGATTTTTTTTAAGAATCCACAAATGCCAAAAGGTTGTTTATAAAAAAACAGCAAGTTAATAAATATGCATTTTCCACCAATTGGAGTTTCAAAAACTATCATGTGACTACAAGAAATGAAAAAATGCGAACGCAGTGTAACTAGGCAAGAAATCTAACATTTCATAGAAATACCTAGGGTGCTTGGGGAAACCCAAAACCAATGTGCGCTACACCTGATAAATATAAAAATTGTACCAATATTAGACAAAAAAATGATCTACAATACCCTAAAGTTTCATAAAGTACCTGTCATAATTTACAGAGCTGTGATTCATAGAAAAAATCTGCCAACTTATGTTGAAAAAATATATATGCTTTTTTTTTGTAAAAATGTATCAAAATTTAGACAAACCTTTTTCCTAACTACTTGCAAAATTTCAAAAAAATTGGTTAAAAATTACAGGTACAGTGTCGTTTACCCTAATACGTGTCTTGGCCAAATTACAAAAATCGGGTCACAGATTTTAGCTTGCGTTTTTACGGGAAATTACAAATTTACGCACGTACCTAATCTATTATTTTAAATATAGGTATGGACTCTCTAGTTTACTTTCTTTAACTTGTTTAATTTAGTTGTAAATTAGTTCAATACTAAAAATAATTCAGTATTCAATTGAGTGCTTAATACTTTACTGTAACTAGTATCAAAACATTCATTTTTGATGTTGTTTAGTTACCTCCCAAATAATGCTTAACTTAACTGAATAATGCTTAACTTAACTGAATAATGCTCAACTTTACCTCCCAAACAAATTCATTTACTAATGAAGTAAGTATATCGTCTAGTCCTGATATCAAGAAAGATTATTGCTTGGAGTAATTTGCTGATTTAGTGATAATTTTCTTTCTTTCTATAACTGTTTGAGGCAAAACTTGACTGTTGAGTTGTAATTTTTAAGTAAAGCAAAGTTAATTTTGGTTAACTATTACTATAAAAATTGCCAATATTTCTATAAAACTGGTTAATTTATTGAATCTCCTAGTTTACATTTTTATTTTGTTTATCATTTTCTTGTTTGTAGATCTATCATGCTAGTGACTTATAGTTTATCAATGTATAAAGTATTATTGACATATTTTGATTCCAGTAGAAAGGATCATCATCATCATCAGATTTTTTTTCAATTTTCCTATTTTTTTTGGTTTTTATGGTATTATTGATTTTTGCAAAGTTTTATTTTACTATCTCTAAATATTTAATATCTCATTGAGATCTAAAGACTATCTAATATCATACCATTGCAAAGTTATGTCTATTTCAAAAATTAAAGTCTGTTTTAAAAAATGAGTTGTCTTTTTCGAAAAGGTTTTATTTTTCAAGCCATGTAAACAAAAAAGCTATAATAAATAAAATTTAAAAAATAAAAAATAAATGAATGTGAATGCATTCCTGGAAATTTTTTTTAAAATATTAAAGTATTTAAGCTTAACATTTTTTATAGGGTTATTAGTTTTATATAATGAGGGAAGCTAGGAATGCAGCATATCTTAGTTAATACATTTTTTATAACAGTTTATGCAACTAATAATAAAAAAGGAATTCTAATAACAAAGTTGACTTGCATGCTGAAATTTTGGAAATCAAATTTGTTGTTTTAACATGTGTGCATGTGTGATTAGTAGTACATTTGCAAGAAGATGAAGCAGTGCAGTTTGATTTGTGCTGTCTTTCATCATATTAAATGGATGCATTTATCATAAAGTTTATTTAGATATAATTATTTAAATCTTAATTTTTAGTTTCAAAAAATTAGCTTTGACTAGTTAAAACATTTTAAAGTTAACTTTTCTTGCTTTTTTGTTAAAAAAAATTATTCAATTCCCCAAGCCCATGAAGGCCACTACAGTCCAGGATGTTACTTTAGTTGTGTTTCTTTTAAGGATATGATATACTTAAGCTGATTTAAAGATAACAAGATTAATAATTAAGCTTTAGCAAACTTTAAAAACATTTACAATATTTCAAAGCTGTTTAATTAATAACATAAAGATCTTAACTATTTTAATTGGTATAGCTTAATTTCATTATCATTTATAAATATAGACTCACCATTTATTTCATTTTTATGTTTAGTTCTACTTTGTGCGCTGTAATATGAAATGAAAATGCTTAAAAGTGATAAAAAAAAAATTAATTTATATAACCCAATTTTGGGGTCTAATATCTTTTCAATGATCACAAAATAACATAAATTTTTTTTTTTTGCTTATAATGTTTTTAGTTACTGCACCCATGGTACAGCTATTAGAGTTCTAGCTTAGAACCAAGAGGTTCGTGGTTTGATGCCAATTAAAGCTGAATAAGCAACACTGGTAAGGAGGGAGGCGTGAACTTCCAGGTTAAATGCTCCTTCACTGTGCTTTGTGATAGGACCAATAGGTCTTCTTAGGAGCATTTTATTATTGAAAAAAAATTAACTTGTCACAAAAAACAAAATTAGAAACACAACAGAAACATATAACTATAACTTCAAAGATATACCATAATTTTAAGAAATTACATAAAAGTATTTCAAACAACAATTAGAATAAATAAAAT